CCCCCCTGCCCAGGCCAGGAAGGGTGTTAGCTGAAGGAGGCGCGGGGGGTGGCCCCAGGCCTGGGGACCTGCACCCCGGTGCCAGGCCGAGGGGCCCCTCACCCCCGTTCTCCTGCCCTTGCCCGGCTTCCTGCTCTTCCCGCCGCCCACTCCCGATGCCTCTGGGCGCACCCAGCCCTGGGGGGCCTTTGTATGAGGCCTGGGCCCGAGCTGGTCCTCCCGGGTTGTGGGCCTCCTGCCCGTGGGAAAGTGGGTGAGGTCATGGGCTGGGAGCTGGCTGTGGGCTGAACGGGGCTGGACCTTGCCAGAGGGCTGCCCTGCGTGGGCTGTGACCTGGGGGTGAGGAGCCCCAACTGGAGCAGTTGTGGGGGGAGCAGCCCGCAGGCCTGAACCTGCCCCTGCCCCACCCACAGACCTCCCCAGGGATGGAGAGCCTTGGGAGGGAGCCTGGGGCTCTGGGGTGCCATAGCTGAGCCGGAGCCCCTCCCACCACCCAAGTGCGGTGGGGCTGAAGGCTGCCGGCTCCTGGATTGCTGCAGGGCACGGCCTCCCCTCCAGGCAGGACCCTCGGGCTCTTCCCGCCTGCCTCCTCTGAGGCTAGAGTCCCACTTGCCCAGGGCACGCCCTGGCCTTGCTGGAAATAGCCAGCCGTTATCTGGAACTCCTGAATCCCAGGCGGTTAACCTTGCTCAGTGTGCTCTCCTGCCCCGCCTCCTCACCATGGCAACAGAGCGCAAGCTCAGGCCCAGGGCATCCAGGGACCCCTTTCTGCTCTGATGGCTGAGGCCCGTGCACAACACAACCAGGGGCACCTGTGCTGGGAGGCGGGTCTCCTGTGAAGGGGGCTCCCAGTGGGGTACCACGGGGCTGCAAGCAAAGACCCCACTCTCCAACTGCAGTCCTAGGCCCCCTCGTCTCTGCATCGTGCCCTGCAGCAATCCAGGAGGAGAGAGTGACAGGTCAGCAGGGCGTGACCGAGGTCACTGCCTTGTGGGGTGAGAGCGATGGAAGGAGACCGGGTGATGTGAAGGGCAACAGAGGGTGGTCAGGGCGGGCTCCTCAGACGGGGTGGCATTGAAGTCCAATCTGATGCCAGGAGGTGGCCCCCCCAGGGAGGACATGCAGGGCAGGTGGGAGCATGGGGGCCTAAGGCCTGGTTGGAGCCACGGCCAGAGGGCCAGGTGAATGGGGCTCAGAGCAAAGGGGTGACAGGTGGCGGCCGATGCCTGACAGATCCCTGGAAGAGATCACAGAAGAGATCCCAGTGGGGACAGAAGACGAGGGGGGTCTCTGAAGGCCCTGGTGGCTGAGGAGCGGGTGGAGCAGGTGCTGGCTCCCTCCGGCTGGGATGCTTGGATGTGGGTGCAGAGGGCCCAGGAGGGAGGCAGAGGCCAGTCCTGCCCTAAGGAGCCCGGCCCTCTACCCCCTTCTTGACAGAATCCCGCTGCACAAGTTTACGTCTATCCGCCGGACCATGTCGGAGGTGGGAGGCCCCGTGGAAAAACTGATCGCCAAGGCCTCCACTTCAAAATATGCCCAGGGGGTGCCCGCTGTGACCGGGGGGCCCGTCCCCGAGGTGCTCAAGAA